CAAGAAAAGTGTCTCCTGCAAGAGCTTGCAAATCCAGAAGCACCCCCAGAAATGCATTTCCAGTGTTGTGTCAGTTTGGTGAAATGAATGCTCACTACTACCTCATACAGGATAAAAGTAACACTAGCTGACACTGACAGATGACTTGTGATGAAACAGCTCAAATGGATTTTCAGGCCAGGTGAGAAAATTAACCTTGTTACGAACATTGACTATTATTCTAATAGCACATGTCACAAGGTAAAATGTTCATTTTTAAGTGGATTTGTCCCAAGATGGAGCTGATCTTTCAATCGCTGAAGTCTCAAAACGGATAAATTTATGTATTCATAAAGATTATTGCTGATGGTGTTTAGTCACATGTTGCTCATACCAAGCTGCATGTCTTCAAAAATGGTTGACTGGAATATTTTCAATATGTTTTACCGTTAAGATAGAAATGAGAAACGTCATTGTTTCAAATTTGTCACTCCAATATGTAAGCTTGGGCCTAACACATTTATATATTACCATCTGAGTCAGCTGATGAGACCACAGGGTAACGGAGAGGACTTGTGGAGATTTTGAGTAACACAACCCTCAATATACAACACCATAGAGAAGGTTTGAGCAGTTGGGAGGGAAGGGGTGGAATTCAATGGGTAATGAGAAAGAATTGAAACCTACAATAGTCATGAAGAAGACATATAATAAACATCTACTAGTCCTGAGTATTATGACAGCCATGGGTTCTTAATATCTGATTGATAAGCTAGAGGCCATCATACATGAGCCAGACCCCTGATTTTTATGTTTGACTACCAAATGGAGGGACAAATTTCCATTGCTTTTTTTCAGATAGCCTGATGTCCAAACTACATGAAATCATGTGATGGACATCCCACATGTCCAGTCATTTTGGCCGCCATTTTCAAGATGGCTGCCATTTTTTTCCAATTTGCTCCAAATTTCAGAATTTAGCATGAAAAACAGAGTTCATAATTCCTAGACAACTTTAGTATCATGAAATGTGTCAGGCACTAAATTCCACACATTTTGATATACAATTTGTATTGTTTTGTGTAATAAATATTTCTCTGTTATCAAATTATATTTAAAAAAATTATTGTTTTTTAAAATATTTTTCATTTTTCAAAGACATTCAGAAATTTTTACTTCAATGTTATGACTTTACATAGCATTAAAACATTGTGATTGATAACAGCTATTTATTGTATTTGTAATAATTAGTGATCACAGAAATTAAATTGTTTTCTTGCACTGCAAAGCAAGTTTTCCTTGCTCAAAATGTTCTCAAAATTAATACACAAATTTCCGAGTGCTGACCCTATGTTTGAAGAAATCTCTGCATTTCAGTTTCATGCAAAACAAAATTTTAATTTGCAGATATTACCATAGTTAAATAAACATCATCTATTTAAAACCCTGCAAGAAAAAAACAATAATATTTTGTTTCATATGAAGTTTAATTACTCATAATAAGACCTAAAATTGTGCAACAAAAAATATAATTTAAAATTGATGCAATGACCGGTCCTTTCCATTGACACCAACAAGCATTGAGTTGACAGTTCACTTGGTGGAGGATTTTCGTGAGTATATTTGATTTTAAAGCAAGATAAAGTTTGAACAACAACACTGAGATAACTATGATACTGTCAATTTTACATGTCAATACAAAAGTGTCTTACAGTATTAATTATACTGTTCTTTTAAAAAACAACTGTCTAACATGAGTTGTCTGCTATTCAAGGGAGATAACTCATGGTCCATTGCCCAGGACACTGCTGCTGCTGCTGCTGCTGCTGCTGCTGTTGTTACTGTTGGCAAAGTAATAACGCCAAAGCACATTCTACTTCCAAGGGTAATCAAAACTCTGAAGCGTAATGTTAAACTGATCAAAACTTTAAGTCACTTGGGACACTCTTGTTCAAACTCAACCTTGGAGGAGATTGACACTGCGCTGTGTATTGACAAGATGGAACATGTAGACATTGATGAAGTACCTCTTCCAGCAAGCATCCACCAGTCTGTTCCAACTGTACTTGCTTTTGACAACATTGACAGACAGGAGGAAGTACGAAGAAGGATCATGGACATCACATCGTGTCAATGGCATAATAGTTCAGCCAACTTCGCTGACACCCAGATCAAAAACCTGTGTGGACAAGAAAGAGAAGCACCAAACAATTGAGCCTTCTGATTAACTACTTCTATCTACTCTGTGGGGAAAAGGAAAGGTCCACCCTCAATTGTGCCAGCTGACCTTTCTACTGAATTTGAAGTCGCAAAAAAAAGTGCACACCAGCAAAACTTACTCTGGATTCTTGTCAGAATGCATGACCCAACAAATCAGACAATAAGTTCTTGGACAATATATAACATAGTGACAAGAGATGACATTGAGGTATGCGCTCATACAGTTGGTTACTTGCCCACAATTAATGCTCCAGCAAAAGAAATGGCAACTGTGCAAGAAATTCTGCATCAGTCTCTTGCTGTACAATCATCTCTACAGCTTCAGAATATTGCTGTTGTTTTCAACCAGGCACTGTATTTCAAAAGCTACAGAAATCGTTTGGAAAAATCCTGACAAGTTTAAAGGCATTGTATTGATGATGGGAAACTTTCACAAAATTTGCAATTTCATGTCAGTAATTGGAAAGAGGTTTGGTGATGCAGGACTTCGTGACTTTGCAGTAGAATCTGGAGTCATTGCAGAAGGATCTATCAGTAAGATACTGTAGGGAAAAGAGTATAATCGAGCAGTCCGATTACACAAGCTGGTATATAAAGCCCTGCTGAGGCTAGCATCGAATGGATTTGTGGAATGGCTTGAGATCCATCATCCTGAAAGCCTAGCAAAGCTGAGTGATGCGAAGATCCAAATAGGTGAGCTCCATCTCACCGTTTGTCATAAATCACATTGATGATGTTGAAATGGAAATTTTGAAATGTTCAACAGTCACCTGAAGCCACCCTCTTGGTCCATATACGCTGATCTCTTGCAAATGGTCATGGCACAATGAAAAAGACAAAAAAATTCTGTTCTGGCAAAAATCATTCAGAAAATCCACTGCAAAAGTCACACATTTGATGAGTTGTTTGATCGAGTGTTTGCCCAGATGTTGCATGCTGGTCAGGGATGTAACAGAATTGATGAAGGTATTTGACGTTTACAGGGAACAGTCAATCAAGTTGGTCGAGCGTCTGAATCGGGGTTCAACTGAAGGCATTATTTTCATGCAGATAAGAGCAGGACACAAACTGAAAAACTGGAGACGACTTCTTGAATGTCCCGAGAGTAAGAACAACCTTACTAGATTTCTGGCACAGAGTTTGAAAGAGCTAAGACAACATGAACAGCTCGGTAACAACACTATGTTTGTTACGCATGGAAATATGTGCATTTAGTTAACTAGTGAGGGATGGCAAAATGTAACACGCCTGGAGTTTGCCATGAAGAAGCTGATACTGGTTTACTGTATCTTTACTCAGAAGAATAACAAAACCTGGTCCTTGTCACAGATGACACAGATGTGCTTGTTATCTGTCTTGCTCTCAGCACAAAGATCAACAGCAGAATCATTACCAGACGAGGTACAAAAGCTGATTTGAGGCTTGTGGACATATGTATATATATGTATGTATACTTTTGATGTTATTATTAAACACATAAATGTAATATCACAATGTCTACATTTTAACTTTAAACACTAGATTCTTGGAAATTTGGCTAGGAAATATAAAAACAAATTTTGGTAGCAATATGTTTGACTTTCTTCAATCTCATGAAAATCAGATGTTTGTACTCGCTACCGCTGAACAAAGATCTGAGGACATCCCATTAGGGGTCACATCAGAATGACCTTTCATCCAACCAATCAGAGCGTCACTTACCAGATCATGAAAGTGACAGTCGGAATGTGTTTTCTGATTATGCAACCACGAAATATTTAACACGGGGTATTCCTTACGACAGTTACGGGTTTTATGATTATACCCATACAATCTAGGCCATCTATAAGCCATTCCAGAGTGTTCTTCTTTTCAGTTTTAATTTTTTTTAATCGAGAACACGTCAAAATATGTTTCGAAGCGTAGTCGCCAGTTTGAAACTAGTGTCATGAAGCTTGAGAAAGCTGCCTTCTGATTGGCTAATGTCGATTTCTTGTCACTCATTTCATTGGTCAGTCAAAATTCGCGAAAGGTCGTTCTGACGTGACACGTAATGGGATGTCCTCAGATCTTTGTTTAGCGGTAGCGAGAACTAAGATCTGATTTTAATGAGATTGGACTTTCTTAATTTTTGAATTATCTGTGAAAAAGTGCACTATTTGAAAAATGGCTGCTTATGTATATGCACTATCATGTTTTAACTTCCAAATGGTATTTTATATATGAAAATACATTAGACAATTTTTATCTATCATAAGGTGTGAATTATTACTCAACAACGTTGCATTGGAAATAAAAAATGTCAGTAAAATGTTATAAAAAGGTAATTTCTTTATATAATTTCACCAGTAACACAACAATGATAACTCAATGATATACAATAACCATAACAAAAAGTGTGCAATGTAGTGCTGAAACAATATCAGTAAATAAAAGTTGTCTGAAATTAATAAATTCTGTGTTATAAGCTATTTCTGAAATCTGTAGAAAAAGTGAAAAATGGCCGCCATCTTGGCTAAATCGCTAAATCATAGCTGGGCATCTGAAATGTCCATCACATGAAATCATACAGTTGAGACATCAAGCAAGCTGAAAATCATGTTGGTTATTTGTGCCTCTGTTTGGTAGTCATATTTTCTCTTGCTCATGGACTACCAGGAGATTTGGCTGTGACAATCCCACTGTTTAAGTCAAAGCATTAAAATGTTCAGAATTGAAACCACAAGCTTTATGATGTGGCTAATACTAATAACCACAGTGGTGGATTTCCTTTTGGGGGACGATTTTGCCTGTCATTTTTCTAATTATATTTTGGTTAAGCATTTGTGATTGAGTATTAAAATCTGTATAGCTTACTTGCAACAAAACTTGTACAGCCGACTATGACTGTGAACGGAGGTTGGATTGTTGTGTAATGAAGCGTGTAATTTTGGAGGAACTCCGTCAGAGACCATATGCAGAGCCTCTATATATAAAGGCTCAGCATCTGCTGAGCCTATAAAGCACAAGGCATTTATCTAATCAAAACAGGCCTACTCGACCGCATTTAAAACCCCCCCGCAAAAAAACCCACAAAAAAAAAAAACAAGCAACCAAACAAGCAACCAATAAAACATAAATCGTTCCCCCATCTTATTAGCATGGCATATTTCAAAATTCCAAATTTCCGCCAGAATTAATTAAGCGACCATAAAGGCCCTTTAGGTTGCCTTACCTTTCGGACATACACTTCCTGACTACGTAACTAAAATGGCCTGGCATTCCCGTGCGTGAAATACGCATTTGTCGGAAAGCGCACGTTATAACCTAAACTAAGTAAATAAATAGTGAATAGAACCACAAGTCTCTGTAGCTCACAGCTAACACTTTGTGGCCTGTTTGGTATTTAAAGATTGAAAAACAGCCTTGTTCTGAGTCCCATTGGCTAGTGCTTGAGGGAAATCTGATACCGTGACATCACTTCCTTAAGAACATGAAAAACCCTACCTTTAAACCGGTTCCAATATAAATTTGTGACATTTGCAATCCATTTCCATATCATATAAACATGTATATAGTTACTATCCAAATCATCCTTTTGAGGACATAAATATATTGTATTGTGGCCTGTTAAAATCACAAATGATCACTGTTTCAAAGAAAATAATTAAACCTCCGCAAGGGTTTCCCCAGTGATTTTGTGACTTTTTAAAGCCATTTTCTCCCAATTTAAAGTGTGTGATGGTGTACAAATTGCATTTTATTGGACATTAGAGTATAATTGAGCATTTGCAATCTAAAAATAGGAGGAAAAGTAACAATTTACTTGGCTATTTCTGAGTGATACCATCACAATGTGCCACTTGCAGAATTTCTGAAATGCGTGATACACAACTGATATAACATATCGTGTGAGAATATTCAGGAAAAAAGTGACAAAACAAAGAATTGACCTGGCAAAGTTTGACTTGTACTTAATGAATATTTATTGTTTTAAATTTTAGAAAATATGTCAATATATCAATAAAGTCATGATGTCAAAATTTTGGGGCTTTATTTGAATCATATGACATATATAAATGTAAAAAATAATTACTTTCACAGAGATAACCGATAAAACTGAAGAAATGAAATTTCCAGGCTTTAATGATGAAGTACTGTTACTTTACAACTACTATAAAAAAAATATAGAACTTTATTACATCAAACATATGCATGAAAAAAAGTAAGAATGATGTTAAGAATAACAACTATACCTTTGACAATTAAATTTTGACCTGCATGTATGGGATACTATGTGACTGTGCAAAATATAACATGAAAGTGAAATATAATTTGCATATTGACCTATATGGATATTTGCAATTAGGAATTATGAAATAAAGAGAAACGATCATATGTGTCATCTCCTATAACATCTAGTTTTAATCTGAAGTATTATCAGCGCGAGGACAAGAAGGTACTGTAAATCAGATTTTGTGGGGAAAAAAGTGACAGTATTAGGCTAAAATAATAATAGTCTTGGTTCTCAGGCACCGCCATCATCATAAAGTCCCCCGTACGTTTCATTATTTCCATTTAAGTCAAATTAATCCTGAAATATTCTGTATCTTGAACACACGATCTGACAGTGAAATGCTGCAATATTTAAAAGCAATGCGATCCAATATTTCTCCCCCTATCTATGGGTGACTTAGTTAAAAAATACTTAATGTCATGGCCAATATCATAACTGAAAAGAAATTTCAATACAGTTGTAGGAAGACCAAAGACTTTTCAAAATGACTGTCATATTTAAAGTGAGAGCTTAAGTCTATGAGCACTTCTTTGAGACACCATAGCTGGGATGATTCATGCAGAGTTTCAGCCATCTTTATAGGCATTGCAGGTCTAGAGGAGATGTCAAAAGTCCACTAATGCTTGAAAAACAGTGGGGTATCTGGATGTCAAAGGTCATAGCTTCAACCTGGATATTCAACTTAAAAACACCCTATTTCTAACAAGTGCTTAGACAACGTTTCTTAATTGTTAAAAAAATAGAAAGTACTACATTGTAAAGAACAATAATCTTATGATGATCCTCTCAAAATTTGAAGAGGTTGGTACAAAGGTTGTATTTTTCATTCAAATTTGTTGCTGCTGTGTCCAGATTGAATTTTACTAAATGAAAAGTTAATTTGTTGTTGCTGAGGACATGTAGAACATGAAAAGATTTTAAGTTTCAGTGCTTTTGGATTTTAAACTAATGAAGACCATAACATAACCTCGCATTGACAATGCCAAGAGGAGATACACATGAGTAATGGCCATCAATTTGTTTTTCATTACGGCTACCTTGGCAGCCAAGTTGAACATGGGATTTGAAGCCTTGGAACAAACTCAGGTGTCACTGGTGGGAACAGGCAAGTAATGTTTTAGAGTCATAGTTCCTGCGGTTTCTGAAGAGATGTCATTTCGTAAGTTGATGAAGTTATCATCCAGAAAGCATCTACGGCTGAACAAATTGTGATACATGAGCTCAAAGAGGTCTATGATAACTTGTCCATAATGAACATCTATTTAGTCAATTTCATGTTGAGCTGTTGAGAGGAGATAAAAAAAGAGAATAAAAAGTTTAGGCAGAACAATCAGTTGACTGTCAATGCATGGTTGAATGTCGGTCAGTTAAAAACGTTTAGTTGGACCTTTTGTGCAGGTGAGCTAAATATTCTATTTTTCCTTTTTTTCATCAGTTGCAACTTTTCAGTTAATACTAGCAGTCCATGAAAGATACAACATAGTACAGTGAATAATTCAGTGAATAAAAGCATGTGACATACAAATGAAAATTGGTTTCCAAATTAAAAGAAATTGACAATAGAATGAAAGTAGATAAAACAGATTAAAAAAAACAACATGAAATCCATCAAAATGATAGGCTCCATCTTTTCTGCGAGCTAAAAGGCGTTTCTGATGATCGGTTTGACTGAGTGGTGTTCCATGGCGGTAGTATTCTTCCATCATCATTTCCTTCTCAGCAAACCTCTGGAAAAGCCACTGTTTCATCCCCTCTTCATCTTTGGGTACCTCCGACACAGGGTATGCTCTAAAATGAAGGAGCACATCAGAGGCCGACCATGATCCTGCCCCTATGTTCACCAGTGTCAGAGGGTCACCTTTAGGATACACTATGGTTACATCAATAATCCACTGTAAGAGGGAGCCATGGAACGCATCTTTATCTGTTAAGGAGAAAGCAGAAAAATTTGAAATAATCTTCACTGAGATTTCCTTACTAAAATCAACATTGAGCATAGTGAAAAGGTTCCAGCATGAGTATGTCATGATAGAGCTTACTTTTATCACAAAGGACGTCTAAGTTCAACTGGAAAAGTGTTTGCAAATACTTGCTGTCACAGAAATAGCCTACTCACTGTAGAAAGGTGCCAGAAATCATACATACCACTATACCTTCCCAGTCTGATAGTATATTACCTTAGAGATATGAAACACATTCTTACTACAAACATAAAACCAGTTCAAAATAACAAGCATCCAGCTTTCAAACTGAAAAATCTAGAGGCATGCTTTGCTGGTCTAATGACAATACTTGTCATCTGAGAAAGTCTCATGGCTCTTGCTACTTAAATTGCAATTTAACACTGTTTACGGTTAGTGAAAACATTTGCCCAATGCTTAAACCAAAAGTCCAACAACCTCAATAAAAATGTGATATACATTGTATTACATTTAAAAACAGAAGCACTTCCAGTCGAATGACCTTGGGCTTTAATCTCATCCTAGAGCTGCCAGAAAATATAAAATTGAAAGCAGATATCGTGTTACAAGTTTCTGAAGCAGCATTACAGTTGATGCCATGTTTACTCTTTCTGGCAGAAACGACTATGAACTTGCAACAACAGTTTCGATGATAGATTGTATTGTGCAAGTAGATGTACCCATAATGAACCATCAGTAGCTTTATTCTCAGTAGAAAGACCTTTAAGAATTTCCAATTGTTTCCATGGACCCACAATAAATTAAGAAAAAATAATAATTGAAAAATATGATAGTAGGCAATAGTTGAGCATGTGTTCATTGCACATGTATAGTTTCATGCAAAAATTGAACAATAGTCATCATTGTTAATAATCCTAAGAATACTACCTCAATTACATCTCTGCCATTAATCCTGTATATTGGCTTCAATGACACTGACTAAAATTTTCAGATTTTCAACACTCTTCACTGTCAATCACACAATTAGTTGTCGCCAAGTAGTCTCGTAACTACCCAAGCCATGGCATCATAATGGCAGCAACATCACTTTTTACCCTCATCTACTACTAGAGGTAGATGAATTGGGGAGGTGGGAGGGAGTAATTCATATGTAATAGAGGTAGTATTCTTAGAGTTATTAACAATGATAACTATTGTTTGATAATTATTACGAAACTTTTACCTCTATTACATATCTGCCAGAATACACCAGAGGGACCCAGTGGGATCTGCCTCAACTAACTCCCTGTGTAACTGACAGCAATCCTCTTCTGGAAACCATTATCTACTGATTCTAATCCTACTTGAGATAATTTCCTCTGACATTCCCCTTGATGACTTGAAAATCAGAAATGTGTCAAGAATCAGTCAAATATGTGATATCTTCACTAGATTTACTGTTATATTTGCTGATCTTGATTGTAATAAACTTGTATTTGTGACTTTAATACCAGCGATTATGTCACTTCCAGTTCTGACGTCACTTCTGGTATGTCACTTCCCCTTTTTTGGTAATGGCATCTCTCTAGGTCTTTTAGTACCCAAAGACGTCATTTCCTGGTTAGAAGGACCCTGTTCTGCTATATCCAGTGCTGATGTCACTTCCAGTTAATCTCTCACTTCTGGTAATGACGTCACTTCCGGTCTAAGTGACAGTGGATATTTAAGATGCTTCTAATCCATCCTACATACACCTACTCACCCTCTGATGCTGCTGGTGTCGGATCTCTTCCCCCCCCACTTTCTCTCTCCCCCTATATATGCCCTCTAAGTTTGGCTGCACGTCACGCAAGTAAAAGCTGGTGAAAGTGTTTTGTGAGGCCCATTGACAACTAGACACTACTTGTTCTACTGAGACTGTTGTCCATGGAACGAGACGTGGCGTAGAATCCTGTGCCTGTATAACTTGATGCAACAGTAGCTTTTAGCCATCCTGCTAAAGTAGCCTTGGTGATATCCTTGTTGGAATTAGTCTTACAAGATAAGAAGAGTTTCTTTCGATGGCGTCTATGTGAATCTGTAGCCAAGAGATAGAACTTGAGAGCTCTGATGGGACATAAGAGTCTGTCTGGGTGATCCACTGTTGGTCCTAATGATGGAATTGTATAGTGTCTATGACCCAACGGTCCCATTGTGATGGATTGATTCTTGGCTACAAAGTCTGGGAGGGATTTTAGTGTTATTGAGGTCCAATGTGGATCATGGGTAAGACTAGAATAGTCTAAGGCATGTAACTCTGAAACTCTTGCTGCTGTTGCCATGGCTGGGAGAAAAGATGTTTTCCTGGCTTTTGGGGGCAGGGTAGCTTTAGCCATGGGCTCGTAAGGTTTCGTTAACAATGCCGATAGTCCAACAGGTAGATTCCACTTGGGGAAGATACAAGAAGTTTGAATATCTTCTAGTAGAAAGAATCTCATTAGTCTGTTGAGAATGGGATGGTTTCCAATAGATAATCCGTTGACATGTTGAAGTACAGAATGAAGGGCTGATCTGTAACCTATTGTCCCGTGTCAGAATTTGTTGTCTTGACGTAGATGTAGTAGAATATCTGCTACCATAGGAATTGATATAGCATTAGTTATAATCCCTAGTCGTCTTCTCCACTGGACAAACTTGTCCCATCTGTTGACATATATAAGGGATGATGAAGGTCTCCAGGATATTGCCACAGCTTCTGTGGCAAGCTCAGAGTATCCGGATGTCTTCTGCGTGATAACTTCCTGGCAGTTAGATGTAGGCTGGGCAGATTGTCGTGGAATATGCTGGACGGGTTGTCGTAGCAGATCTTGACGAAGTGGCAACTGGATCGGTTCCTTCATTAGTAGTTTCAGTTGTCTGGGGAACCACGCCCTGCTGGGCCATATTGGGGCTATCAATATTATTACGTAATTTGTCTCCTCAACCTTGGGGATGACTTCATCAAGGAGAGACCGTGGAGGGAATGCGTATGCAAACAGGTTCGTCCAATCCATCAATAGGGTGTCGATCTGGTGAGCTCTTGGTCGAGAATAAGGCTCACATGAACTGAAGTTGGTTGTTCTGGCAGGTGGCGAATAGATCTAGATGTGGTGTCCCATAACTTGGTTATCTAGGTGAAGATCTGTGGAGGTAAAATTTCCATTCTGTTGCCTCTATTCTTCTCCAACAAGAAAGACTGCCAGCCGGTCAGTTCAGCTTCCCGGGTATATGTCTCGCTTCCATCTGGCAATTGAAGGAGTCTGCCAAGGCAAACAATCATGCAGTCTCCATCATCAGGGAGCTGGTTCCTCCCTGCTTCTGAATATAGGCCTCTACTTTTGTGTTGTCCATGGCTATGAGAACGAATGATTGATGAAATGTATCCTCCATTTTAGGATGGCGTAATATATGGCCCCCATTTCCCAGCAGTTGATATGAAGGTTCTTCTCCTCTGTGTTCCACGATTTCTGTACTGTGAGATTGTACATATGGGCTCCCCATCCCAAATCTGACGCGCCTGTGAATAGATGGTGTTCTGGCGTCAGATAAGTCAAAGGGATGCCACTCATCACATGTTCTCTGTGATTCCACCAATGGAGGTCTCTTAGTAATCCGGGAGGTAACTGAGTCTGGAACTCTAGGCTCTGAGATCGTATAGAGTTCATCCAAGTCTGTACAGGACATGGCAACAGCCTTCCTTTGAAGGTCATATCCTGTAGGGACTTTAAGTTGCCTAGAAGAGACATCCACCATCTCAGCGCCTTGCTGCGTTGACTTGAAGGTAATTAAATTATCCTTATAGTCTTGTTGAATCGATCCTTTGGTTGGCATAGATATCCCCCGTCTAGCTGGAATCTTGCTCAGATGTATATAATGTCTTGAACCGGAGTAGTTTCCGACTTGGCTGGATTGACTAGGAAGCCTAGGCAGGTCACAAGTTGGACCAAGAATATCATGTTCTGATGTAGCTGATCTTCTCCTTGGTCTGCCGCTAGGAAATCGTCCAGGTAACCATGGATTCGAACTAGCTGGATGTGAGCAAACTTGATGACTGGGGCTGTAATCCTGGTGAATAGCAAAGGGGCCATAGCTATCCTGAATGGTAGGACTTGGAATTTGTAGCGTCAGCCATTGATTGTGAAGCGTAGATACTTCTGTGAGGATGGGTGTATCGGGACTTGAAGATAAGCATCTTCTTCGTAACTTCACTATGGACTCCATCTGGAATTTTGGCAGAGGTACCAGATATCTCTTGTTGAGGGTCTTAAGGTTTATGATCATCCTCATCTCGGTTGTATTATTCTTCGGGTTGGGACTAAGAAGACCGGAGAGTAAAAACCTCCGTTAGTGTCCGAATGGCTCGCTTCTTTAGTAGCTTCCCGACGGCCAAATCTGCAGCTTCTTTTTCGGAGGCTGTTTGGTCAATGATGATTTATAGTCCCAGGGACGCTTCTGTGAATGGGATGATTCATGAGCTTTAGCAACTAAGTCGAAAATGAAGGTTTTTAAACATTCTGCTGTGTCTTGTTTACCTTCATCTGTGACGTCCCAATTTTCCATTGAATGCTGTGGTAGCTGAAAAAGGTTGTGTCATCATGAACCTCTTGGTTTGGTTTGACACGGCTCTGGATCTGATCTGGACTAAAAGTTGTTGACGCTGTAGCCTTAGAAGTCGTGCAGAAGTCCAGACTTGGGAGGAGAGTAAGTCTTCTTGCATCCTGACAATGGATTCTAGGAGGCAATGGATGAGTTGCTGGATCAGACTCATGGTGAGTACAGGAGATGGTGGGTTGGCTGGGGAGGGAGGTGCTGGAGTGGAAACTGATTTCTCAGTTATGATGTTTTCCACTTTTTTCTTCGTGGCCTGGTGCCTCTTGGCCTTAGTCATGGCCTAGCCCAATCTTCTGTGTTGACGCACTTCTCGCATCTCTTGTCCTTATTACAAGTAGTGCCTCTGCACTTCGTGCAGTTTTCATGAGAATGTCCCGTGACCATGAATCGGCCACACTTCTTGCATCTGGGGGTAGAGGAAGACTGCATGTTGACCTAAAAGAATCACCAAACACCAGCTAAACTACCGTGCAGGTTTGTCTCTCCATCTGCATTATTAATTTATACTTATATGTCTGTTATTATAGAAAACTTATCAGAATAATCTTAAGTCAATGTGACTGACTACCAATTGCTAGATTGTTACTACTATTATAATAGGTGTTGACTCTAGCACACACAGGAAAAATGTGATGTTGCCGCCATTATGACGTCATGGCTTTGGTAGTTACAAGACTACTTGGTGACAACTAACTGTGTGATTGACAGTGAAGAGGATGTCTGTTGAATATCTGAAAATTTTAGTTAGTGTGATTGAAGCCAAAATACAGGATTTATGTGATGTGCATTAGAGGAAGAAATTTCGTAAGAATTATATTCATTAGTTTGAAGGTTGGAGACAAAGCCTTAAGTTGTTTGATACGTAGTCCAAATAAGTCCATGGAAACGTAACAAAATACAATTTAGAAAAAATTCAAAATAGCAAAAGTAAAAGGCACCAGTTAAGCATGTGGCAATGGGAGACATAACAATGAGCGAATGACATGTTAAAGTGACCTCTGACGCAACCATAATGGATAATTCTCACAATGCCCACACGTCACGGAAGCGTTACCATATCACAGCTGTTACAAGTTTTGGGGTTGTGTCAGGTTTACTTAGGTGCAAAAAGAATTTAACAGTGGTTGACTTTTTTGGGAGTCATTTATTCATGAGTAGAAAATACAGTTCAAAATATCTAAATAACCATTTAATTTTTGTACAATACATCAATCATTACACAGGCAAATGCAAACTAAAACTATAAAAAGAGTATGTTTACATTTATACAATAGCACTCACAACATTATGACATGGCAGAGGTATGACATTTTAACTTAACATTGAAAATGTTTAGCTCACCTGACTGAAAGTCAAGTGAACTTATGTCACAGCACATTCTCTGTTGTCCGTCAGTTGTCAACTTTTGCATTTTCGATATCTCCTCTGAAACAACAAGGCCTAATTAGCTGAAATTTATAATACATGATCCCTGCTATGGTGTCTTTAAGAAGTGCTCACATAATTCTTATCCGATTTGAAACATGGCATAAAATGTATTGGCAATTTGTCATAGGTACAGTTAATAATGGGGCCTAATAGGTGCTTTCCATTTTTGGCAATATTATGAATTTTGACCTTGATTCAACCTTTACAGCATAAAAGTTTGTGTCACCAAAGTGAAAATCCAAAATTTGACAACCTTATCTTAAACTCCACTGCATGTTTCATGAATTTATCTGCATACACTGGCAAAACGTAGGTTTTGGCATGGAAACCAAACTTGACTTGGAAAGAAGAAATGGTTCGACAAACATTGGGAAAGGCTGTCAGTAAAATGATCCAGGTAAAGTTTCACCATCCTTTACCTTTTGTATAAGGAAAATACAGCAAAACAAGTTCCAGCAGGTCTAAACTGTCCATGGATAGAAGGTAGGTGTTTTGGACAAATGGACAAATCAAACTGAAAATAGCTCTCTCTTAAGGCCTTTATTTTAACAATTCTTTTTATACATGTTATTGGATACATAATGTTATAATTACAGGGTGTATTGCATAACGTAAAGTTACATACCACTGGTAAGAATTCAACGAAGTTTTTCCTTTCTTGATACTCAAAATAACGATATATGTTTTACTTGAAACATTAATGTGAATAATTAACTTAGAGTTTTTATCAATGATGGCCAGTAGTATCTGGTTTTTATCAAACTTAATTGCAAAACATAAAATATATTTAAAGTCTCAAAGCTAAGTGTCTTTTGTACATCTTTCACCTATTTCATCCAAAGAACAGTCAACATTGATAATTTGTTGCCATTTGTTACACATATTTAGATAAAAGTGGGGAGAATCAAGTTTCTCATAAAAAGCTTTTGAGCTTTTTTGTGGTTTTATCATTTCATGCATTACAGAATGTAGGCCAAGATGACAATCAGTAGCTTGAAATGAGTCAATTCCTGGGAATATTATATAATATTCTATTACCGTCCAAAGTCCCCTTTACGAGGGCTGGCTGAAAAGTTAGGCTAAGCCTAAGTAGGATATCTCAATCGGATTGAAACAAACTTTTGCCACCAACAAGTACAATCATCTAATGAATCATAGACATAAGAACTGCAACTGTAGTGTTATTATTGTCTTTGTACCAGACCATCTTGTGAACCTACCCATTGAAATCACCAGAAAATCGACAAAACTGGCTATAGGGCAGTCATCAAGTACCTGCAACTGAAAGGGCTAACTCCAACACAGAAACATGCTGACATGGTCTCCACTTTAGGGGATGATGCCCCTTCCTTTTCCACTGTAAAGAAGTGGGCTGCGGAATTCAAGCGTTGCAGAGAGAGCCTTGACGATGACCCGCCTCCAGGAAGGCCTTCAACAGCAACCATTCCGGAAAACATTACCCGGGTGCATGACATGGTGATGGCTGATCGACGATTGACCACTCGACATATTGCCAGTGTTGTGGGCATCTCTCATGAGAGGGTTGAGCACATTATCACCAACGAGTTGGGAATGACAAAAGTTTCTGCGAGATGGGTGCCAAAGCTCTTGACAGCGGATCAGAAACATGTCAGATTCCTGATGTCCCGTGACAGTTTATGCCGTTTTGAAGCAGATCCTGATGATTTTTTGGCTCGATTTGTAACCATGGATGAGACCTGGATTCATCACTTTCAACCAGGAAACAAAATCCAGTCTAAACAATGGAAGCATCCGGATTCACCAGCTCCCCAAAAAACCAAGTCGGTTCCTTCTGCTGGAAAGGTGATGGCTTCAGTCTTTTGGGATTCCAAGGGTATTCTTCTGATTGACTATCTTGAAAAAGGCCAGATTTCAATGGAAGATATTATGCTGACCTACTGAGACAGTTGCGTTAAGCTATCAAAGCTAAGTGACGGGGAATGCTCACTAAAGGAGTCCTGTTCCACCAAGACAATGCCCCTGTTCACAAATCGGTGGTTGCCATGTCATCGATCCATGATTGTGGCTTCGAACTCATTGACCATCCCCCTTATTCACCCGATTTGGCCCCTTCAGACTTCCACCTGTTTCCCAAAATGAAAAAGGAAGTAGTCGGTCGCCATTTTCCTAGTAATGATGACGTCATTTCTGCTGTGAATGACTTTTTTAGGGTGGTTGAAGAAAATTTCTTCTTGACCGGCATCCAGGCCTTGCAGCATTGCTGGCAAATGTGTGTAAACCTGGAAGGGGACTATGTGGAGAAATAAATGAAAACCATTGACTTGGTACAGGTCTTTCATAGTTAAGCTTAGAACATTTCAGCCAGCCCTCGTATGTTATACTATATATTCAAAGGAATGATGCCTTATGAATCGCATATGTCCTTTATAAAATGAATTCCTTTCTCATACCAGCTTTCTTCAAAATAGTTTGGGTCATTCGACTGATGGTCTAACCTGAGCAGTTCTGTTAAAATATCTGCAATTATTTCATGATATGTTGCAGGTTTCTATAAAATCTTCCCCAAATCAAAAGTATTTTTTTCCAAAAAGGGTTATCAACTTGAGTACACTAGTAATGATCAATATTTTCTCCCATCTGGAAGATTTCTCTTAATGGAAAGAAGCTAGGACTAGTAAAATTTATTTTTCAAACTTAGTAAAATCTAAATATTTTTGAATACTTATCCTGCATTAATACCTTAATACTGTTACTGCTGTTTTTTATTATTGTATTTACAGAAAGACCAAACTGTGAGAGGTCCAGGCTACAAATAAAGTTGTTCCAACTAGTGGTGTGGCTCATACCATCATACAGCTGCCACGTGATGGAAGTAAAGGCGTCAGGTATAATCACATTACTGCTAGAAACTAACATCTGGTACACTTCGTGGGAAGGTAGCAAAGCGATGGCAGGGCACTTTAGACGTAGTAAGCAGGATAAGTATTCAAGTGTATAAAATATTTAGATCTTACTGAAGTTTTTAACATATCCTGCATTGCTACCTCAATGCAATTTTATCAGACGGAACGGAGGGGGGCATACCTTCAGATATAATTTCAGGATAGACCCTCAACCAGTCCAGGTAGCCAGATAGCATCCTGAACGGAAAAACGGAAACCAAGGACCATTCCTGTCCGAAGTTGATGGAGCCACAAGAGAATATAGGAGAGATGAGGTCAAGTCAGGAAACGGTGAAGTAGAAAAAGAGCATCGGCCAAGTTCTAAATTCTGATCAAGGAGCTGGAACAAACGGAAGCATGAATCCCTCCAGCCTGGGGTAAAATATACCAGAGAGGTTGCAGGTGTAAAAGTCAAGACCGTCGATGGTTGGTGGCCTGCTGCACCAACAGACCAAAACTATGGACACCTTGTACATCCTCATATAATGACTGGCAAAGACAATATCCAAACACCAAAAACAATCTTCCATGATGGACTTGATGGAACAGTTTCTATGGACAGCCATGGTCAAGGCGACGGCCCTAATCTCACGAGGGTTTTTGGCTCTAGGACGGTCTGAAGCAGCAACATCATAAACCTACAGGATAATGGAAAAAAGCCACAAGGAGATTGTGGCTAACTTCCATCTGGGATGTAGGAGAGACCGGAATAAACAGATGTTTCTGTGACCCTTATTGTGTCTTGGAGTATTGAAGGAAACACTGTAATGCTCGAACTGTACAGAGAAGAAGTTTATCCTCATCCTTGGAGCCCACTATTGAGGACAAGGGAGGAATGATAAGGAACAATGAAGTCTCAGCAGAGCCCAAGATGAACAGCACCATGCACTCTACGCTCAAACCGGAAGATGTCAAGGGCATGTAAACCCACTAACTCAAGCCACCGTAGCTCACGCCAAGAGAAAGATAATCTTCTTGGTAAAATTGAAAAAAGGCAACGAGCAGTGTGGTTCAGGGGAGCGTTACAGAGTGATGTCAGAACCACATTCAGATCTCATATCGGGGGTCGAATCCTCCAGACAAAACAGCCACAGTAGTGAATGAAGTTCCAGGATCTTGGTCATTCTGCAACCCGTAGGAAATACCAGCATCTAATTGAACTGCTATGTCGTGATGGTACTACCCTTGAGGCGACGCTTACTGCAAAGAAAGAGTAGAAATTCAGGCAGAAATTGAGATGAGGCAGATTGGGGTCCTAGTTCTTATTCTTTCAGAAGGATTCAAAGGAACACCACTTTTCACCATCAAGGCTACTTGTACGAGGTCTATGTGCTGAGGCAGTAACCTTAACCGTTCCAGCTGAGTAGCCCTTCTGGTGGAGATGGACCTGGCATGGATGTGGCAACCTGCTGTGATGGTGGTTCAGTAGATGTGGCCGCCCAGGGCCCTCAAGAGGGTCGCAGCTGGCGAGGTCTCGAACGTACACGAACTAGTTCTGTGCTCACCACCAAGGTGCAATCAAAATTAGAGAGAGGTTGGGGGTGCTTTTGATCTTCTGTAGGACCCTGGGGAGTAGGACAGGTGGCTGAAAAGCGTATGCTCTTAGGTCTGTCCTGGGAAGGCCAGAGGGTCCAGGATTTGGGAGTGTCGAGCACACGGATGGTTGTTGACCTAGAACTGTCCTGGAACATTCATACAAGCCACTTTCACCCGCTACAGATTGCAGGAACAACCCAAGATGGGGTCCAAAAACGGCACTGGGGGGGGAACCAAGTGCATCAGAGGCACCAGTGCTGGATGTGCTGGCACCGGATGAGCCAGCGCTCTTGACAAAGAGGTAACTGTAGCGGCAGACACAACAGGAGTGAAGACTGTGGTGTGATAGGGGAAAGCAAGACCTCATAATCAACAGGATCAGCGACCTCATGGGTTGGGGATGTCTCAAAGTGGTCGTCCATCTTGGGATGTTTGAACGTTGTGTGTGGCATTTCCTCAATACCCTAAGGTTTCCAGTGAAGGCTCAAGGGGAGAGAGAATGGCAAACAGGGCACTGCAACAACGTGGGGCTGGGGT